CCTTGAGCATGAAACTGAGCAAACTCAGGGAGGCAGTGAAGGACAGGAAGGCCTGGCGCAATATGGTTCATGGGGTCACGAAGAGTCGGACACGACTTAACGACTGAACAACAACAACAATTCTTTCCCTTTTCCCGCAAATGTTCAGAGCCCTGGACTAATAGAATAGTCTGAGCTTTGAGTAGACACTGGTTCATACCTTATCTCAGCAATAAACTCAGCATTAAAGATGGAGTTCATAGGGCTGGGGAAAAGATAATAACTAAAAAAACCCATGAAGCACATGTTGAAAAGTTAGAACTGGAGAGAAAATGTTCAATAGGGCTATGCACACTCTGAAATTGATTTAGAAGAGAAGTTTTGGAGCTCACATGAGTGCAGCGCTTCTCTGGTACCTATTAAAACACTGATGTCTTTTTTCAGGCATCCACATGAGCTGAAAAAATGCTGCTGTTTTACATTACGTTACGTTACGTTATGTTACGTTACAGCAAAGCTGTAATTAATCCGACTTTTAAAACAGCAGCATTTTTTTTTTGCAGGCCCTTGTAGAAGCCTAACAAAAGATATGTGTGCTTTACTACAGAGCAGAAGGACTTGCTCATGAAAATTTGAAGCAGTTCTTCCAAATGGTTTTTAAACATATATCTATTATATTCCTTAACAGAAATACTAATAAATGAGTAACAATGAATACATAGAATTTTGAACAGTAGAGAAGCAGAATATTCCAACCAACTCATGAGAAGCACTTGTCACTATATAGTACATGAATTTAGTTTACAGTAAGTTTTTAGCATTCTGTTATCTTACCCTCATGGGAGAATGCTGCATGGTTTCAAATTTTCATGGAAAATTTGCCCTGCCCTCATGGAAGAAAGTTTTTGATACTATATCCAATTATATTATCTTTCTGAGAGAAAAGGCTGTTGTTATTCAGCTCCTGAAGTACTTGAAAATCATTAGTTGCTTGAGGTACTTCCACTCTGTCTTTCGATTATGTGTCTTCATATGTTTTTTTTCCCCCTATTTTCTTACAACTTTTGAAATCAGTCAAGGCAATAGTATTATAACTTTCACAAATCATGGATATTCAAGTTACAAAAAGTTGCTCAATAACAGTAACCTTGAAAGTTCTCTAATTTACTTTTGAATGCTTCTGCTCTTTCTGAACAGAGAATGTGAGAGATGAAGTCATCCATGACAATTTTTGGATGAGGTTCTTATTGCACTCTTGCCCTGCCTTCTTCTTTCTTCATAGAAGAAAGAATGTGGGGAAGGAATATATGTAGTCTTTCATATCTAGTTCTTCTGTCTGTTTCCTACCACCTCTGCTTGTCTGGCCTGAGAAAGTCATTTCAGGAGGGAAAGATGGAATATCTACCCAATGTACTTTGGTTTCCTATAGAATTAGGCTGTATTATTATTATTATTATTATTATTATTATTATTATTATTATTTTGGCAGTTTTTATCTAAAATATCTCAAGATCTCACAGACACAATATGCTGGCAACACTGAATTATTATTTAATATTCAGAACTGCAGCATCAAGTATATATGAGATGTCTTTCTATGGTGCATGCCACCTTGTCTCTGAAGATGCCAGCCACAGTTACTGGTGAAACATTAGGAAATCTGTTGTCTAGACCACGGTCACTAAACCCTGAAGCCCAACACTGCCACGGGGATTATTTTTAGGACAGAAATCTTCACTGTTACTTATAAGCAATAGATACAATTTTGCTGAGCTAAAACTCCCAAATCCCTGAAACGACAGATAATGGTAGGAAATGCTCCAGGGTATAATTCAGCAGTCTGGAGGACTATAGCTTCCCTATTCTTCATTTATACAACAGTTTGAAGCATAATGGAGTTCTTGGTGCAATAATCAATGGCTAATTAGAAGTAATTAGCAAGTAATCTGCATTTGATTTTCTATAACTTTTGAGTTTTTTAAAAGCATATTTTTCAGAAGAAGTCTGGTTGGATAAGTACAACCAGTGAACTGTGGGGCGGGGGGCAGTCTGTGGAGCCCTCCCATTAAGGCACACTTTACCATCCTATATATCTCAGTGTCTGGCCATCCAAGTGATACTGTCAAGATTGACCCTGGGGATGGCTGGCACCTTGACGATGCTCCCTGAGTTTATTAACACCTAATTAACA